AGGGACCAGTCGGTCTTGAAACGTTGCGATACGTTTAATACGTACGTTTTTTGTGTAATCAGTTAAAACATTGATATAGCATATTTCAAAACTGATGACTCTTATTCAAGAAAGCGCCATACAAGCTTTGACTTTGTCCTTTCAGTATCGGCGTAAATAACATTGCTATTCTATAAAGCGACATTTTAACCAGTAACTATGTGATAATAACACCATATCTAACAGTTTCTGAATGTTAAATTTTGATACTAGTTTGTAGCATGTACAAATTTATGATTGAAATGAAACCCTTTCTGCTTTATGTAAGTCAATTTCATTAAATTCTAAACTTTCACTGAAAACAGCATGCTTTGACCGGTTTTTTTTATGTCACATTGTAATATTATACAGGTGGAACTAAATTTATGCTTTCCTTTTATTTTTAAATTATTTCGAAAAAAAGCAATATGTTTTCCTCGATGCCAAAATGGAGGCGATTGTACAAATCCGGGAGAGTGCACATGTGGAGATCAATATTCTGGAGGAGCATGTGAACAAGGTAGCAATTGGGATTATGTCTACGTTGTTAAATATTCTACATACAGCACTGTTTGGCTTATACATTTCGAAGTTAGTTCATGTAAGGAAGAAGACATCTTTTCTATCAAAGCATAGAAAGGCAGGGTTTCTTTAATACTATGCATAAAATTCGATAACATTTAACTTTTTTTGTGTAAAGGTAACTATAGATTTTACATGTTTGACACATATTATTTGGTCTCTGTCAATCAATGAAAATAAGGACATTCTAACGAGGTTGCTTTTCTCAGCTATTTGCCAGCATACGTGTTTGAACGGAGGCAAGTGCACTACGCCAGATAATTGTACTTGCGCAACGGGATACACGGGAGTTGTTTGCGAGATTGGTGAGTATGTTTTGAACATTTTGTCGCACAAAAGGTATAGTTATTTTTTTCTCTACAAAAGGTTCGAAAGAGTAAATAAATCGCTGTAAAGGATCCCCGTACCTTTGCCAATAGCTGTTATGATAAATATTGGAACTTAGATTTTCCAGTTTGACTACATCTTTGATAAACCATGGGAAATGAAAAACAAATGACATGAACAAAATATAATCAGCATCAGTGTTCTGTGTAAAACAGTTAGGCGAGGTTAGATGCGAATAAGATCACTTTATCCTTGCTAAACTGTGCTTAAGTTATATCTAAACGACAGTTAAGTGTATGTTATTGTTTATATGCAAAATACAGGGCAGGGATCCTCAATAAGCCTCGGCATACATACAATTTAGTCACGACAGTAAACTTCATTTAGCAGTTTCAATCAATCGTTATATAATTTAACTGGATTACTTTTGATAAGGCGATCCTATCTAAGCAATGAATGTTTTAGCAAATGTTGTTATGGTCCTATATAACACACATTGCTATTGATAGCGATCTAAATAAAGCCTTTATTTTGATAGAGTAGTTCAGCTTTATTTTGTTATTTCGAAAAAATCTTTGAACAGCAAGGAAATTGATGACATCACAATACAGATTGATGACGTTATAATAGCAAATGTTGTTATAGTATCTCAACAATATTTTCCTTCTCAGTGCATTGCAGATATATGTAAATATATGTGTGTGATTACATTCAAGCCATGTGCACGATACCCTGTCTGAACGGAGGATCTTGTATCACACCGGACGTTTGCGCATGCGCTCCTAGCTATTTAGGATCTGTCTGCGAACTCGGTAAGACATAACATATAGTTTGAGTTTTCTTCGGTGACTTATAATATGTTCAGCTAGAATATAGATGAAATTGAAGTGCCATTATGTACGGTATTAATTTACGTTTATATAATATCGTTGTACAATTCATTGTTATAACGTTTCTTTTAGGAGGGGATCCTAGTTCCTTGTTGACTCCGTCGCACCACTTTGCCGATGAACGCACAAGTCAGCCACTTTCTTGGTATGAAGAGGAACCACTTTCTACATTTGGAAAATTATGTCTTGTCAAAATTGAGATTTTGGTAAGAAAGGAAGCATACATAAATCCGAAAACCCAAATGTATTGTGGCATATTTCTGCTAACGACTTTTGAGGTGTATGGACATTTTAGTTAAAAAAACAAACGGTATGCGTTTGATTTTCATTTAAAATTTCAAGCCGGTAACTATTTTTTTTAAATGATTGATCTAGATTATTTTAAGGTGGTTTGTTTAGTCCCCGAGGTTTGCCGTAATCTAATAGCCATAATAATATCTTTTAAGTCAAGGCACGGTACAAAAAAAATACATTCTTTACTCATTATTTTATTTGTATTTAATCAGCACTTCTCCAATTTGTTTTAAGTCCATAAGTAAGGGTTTTACTCACCGCCTCTTCTGTTTAGACAGTAGTTAAATCTCATTAGAATTTTCGAACGTTTTTGGCCTTAAGCATGATTTATAAGTCATAGTAGGATCAAACAGCTGTATGATGCAGGCTAATTTATTTTCGACGTACTGTATATATTACTATTAACAAATTTCATATCTACAATACTTTGGACCATTCATAAAAAAAGTTACTTAGCTTTACATGATTGATAATATATTGAGATCGGGATCCTGGCCCAAGGATCATGAAATGATCTTAAGTCTAAAATTGTCTTAGTTTTGACTTAACCAATCACAAATAACGTCATGGAAAGTGACGTCATACGTGATTGGCTTTGTGAAAAATTACGTCTAAGATTGTTTCATGGTCCCAGGGTCAGGTTTAACAAAGAACGTTTCATTTGTAAGGCTTTGATATCCGAATGTTCTCTTTTATTGGTGCAATAATATATTGCCGTACCTCCACGTGAAAAGTAATTTTAAGTTCTTGATTTTTTTTTATCTGGTATTAGCCTGTAAAAATAAAAAAAATATGTATTACATCAATAATAACCTATTTTTTTTTTTTTAATTTGAAGTCAATATAATTATATTTTACATTAAGCAATATCTGACATTTGAATTGATCAGAGTTGGTAATTTATTATTAAGATTTGTCCGTTTGACTTTTATTAGTCACAATGCGAAGGTGAATCGAAAGCCTTTTTAATAACAACGAGATTTCTGTATGGAAAAGTTTTGCATACTTTGATCATTTAAACATCAAAAGGTGAATTTGGTTCCAATGAAATTTTTGTTAGGTCAAAAAATTATATGTGTAAAATTCTTGAAATAAACTATTTCATTCAAAATAACATTTGTAATTATAAAAGTTTACTGACAACCGTTTTAGCTCAATTATAATATAAAGCATTATAACACAATGTATATGTCTCCATTCATAGCACTCCATCAAGGGTGATGCTTCAGTTTTTTCAAGGACAGAAATGTTTAATTATAAAATTGAATTATAGACGTATGTAAATAAAATTAATAAATAAATAATTTTACGTTAATAACCGTTTATTCATATACCTTGACTCAGTAACAAAATTTGCCATAATTTATTTTCTATATAGAATGCAGATATAGAAACTCTACTGACAGCGACAAGCTACACGTCTACAGGGAAGTTCCTTGGTAACTATACGGTTGGTGGAGCTGATGCCGGTTTGCACATTACCGGAAGTGACAGGGCTGCATGTCTTGAGTTCCGATGTCCTTCAGACCTTAATGTGGACTCGATTGTTGTTAATATCACAATAGCTACATCCCAACAAAACTGCCATGTTGTGTAAGTGCACGTTTTCAAATTATTTATTTTAGCAAAATATTCCCATCACATCGAAAAACAGCATCATTGTATCTAATACCAAAATTGTTTATGGCAAATTATTAGTAATTATTATCTGAGAAATGCACTTTGGAATGTCATGTCAATTGTGTAGGTGTTTTCTGGTAAGTTAATAATTTCCTTCACACTGCAAATCTACCCGAACAAGCAAACAAACATTTTCAAGACCATCTTTATTTAAATAATATATTTCATCGTTTTGTTGTTGTTAACGTAGCTAGACTCTATAGGCGTATATATATGAAACATCCTGTTTTGATTTGTAAAAGGAATTACCAATGACATATTATTTGATATATGCTCTTTGTGATCGGTTATTAATTTGAAACGAGTGTAATAAATAAGAAATCGCTGCTTGCCTAACGTTTTCAAGCGTTTTGTAAAAAAGTTGCCTTCGTTAATTAAATGAAGTTCAAGTTTTATATTTATAAAAAACACATAGAACTGTAAACTATTTTTTACACATGAAAACAACGTTCTGTGAGTATTTAAAAAAATATCGTATGTTGTTCCTTTTTCAACATCATTTTAAAGTCTATGTTATCACATTTATGTTGTTGCATGTAAGATGTCATGAACATAAAAACTTCAAGTATGACATGAATAAATTCAACATATTTCAGCAATGACCAGGATGGATATGATAGATACGGAGACAAAGAGGTGACCATTCAAGTGCAACCGCATAGAGATTATGGATCAAAGTACGGCATCTACATCACCTACGGGGTTCTGGAACGGATGAGATATGCAGGAGTACATATGTGTCGAAGTGGTACTAACTACGGTGGGGATAACGTTGTGCCACATGATGGAACTGCTGCTACCTTTGCATGTGAATAGACATGTAAATATCTTGTGATTGTGTTTGGTTTTCAAAATTGTGTACAATTGTTTTTGTCAACAAAAAATTTAAAAAGTTAAGGGCAAAAATCTTTATCAATATTTCTCGATCTACCGATATCTTTTTTGATCTACCGATATCTGTTACATTTAAATTTGTTGAAAGTAAATGATCCATGGTTGCGAGAGCAACAAAAGTCTTTACAATTGAGGTGAATGTTTTAAAATAATGTTGAAAAACATCTTCACAACTAGAATGAGGATGCGGTCGTACAACCCCCCCCTCCCCCTCCCCCCTCATCCTCACCCCATTTA